AGAGGAGACTGGAGAAAAAGGGATCGTGGTGTGGCCTTACCCCCGAGGGGTGATTTCTTGCTTGCTTTTTGTCTCTGGCAGGTGCACGTGCTCTTTAGAAAAATCCTTTAAAAAAAAAAAAGTTATTCAGTCCAGTCCTTGGACATACTGTGACCGTTGTATTGGTTTTCAACTCCTCTGAATGTTAACAAATGTCCATGAGGGCCTGGTTGCTGGGGCGCACACCACTAGGACACGTCTCTGGGCGAGGGTCACACAGGAGGCCTGGGTTTGATTCCCAGTCTCACCTACCAGCTGGCATGGTGTGCACCTGTAAGCCCAGGGCCTGGGAGATGGAAGCAGGAGGACCACGCACTCGAGGCCAGCCTGGGCAGCACAGCCAGACCCTGCCTGGAAGCCAGCCAGGCATGTCCGTGATTGCAGCCAGAAGGCTGAGCAGTAGGAGTGCGACACCAGACCTGTCTTAAAAGGTGGGGAGGAGAAATTTCATGGTGAAAAGTTTGAAAAAAGAGGGGAACCAGCAGTTAGCGTAATGGCTATGTCGCTGGACTCCCATGTAGTTGACTGTGGTTCGCGTCCTGGACCTGTTGGCTTAAAACTTATGCCGGGCACATGTGCATGCATGCCCAAGATCCCGAGAGGAGAATGGAGGAGAAGGGATTGCGGCGTGGCCATCCCCCCCGGGGGTGATTTCTCACTTTCTGTCTCTCTGTCTGGCGAGTACACACACCCGATAGCAAAAACCTCTCCAAAAAAAGAGAAAAAAGTTTGAAAAATGAAAAATATTAAATGTACCCACGAGAATGACTAAAACAGAAAAAGACAAAAAAAATACTGAGTTTATGAGGATGTGGAACTAAGGAGACCCTCACCCTGCTGGTAGTGCAGTTAGCTCGGGAAGAGCGTGACGCATAGATGCACACCCTGTCGTGCAGCAGTTCCCTTCCCAGAGAGACCTGCACCCGACAAGTGCATTACATGCGTGTGGAGATGTACATGGATGAAGCTGTTCTCTTGAACACCCTGGTTGAGGATGACACCCATCTTGGCAAGGATCATGCTTGAATGACATCTGTTTCTTACCGAGGGAGTGAAGGGTGATTTTATCCAGGAATGTCATGGGTGCCGCCAAACAAGCTTGTCACAACACATCCTTTCTCTTAGGTGACATTAAACAGACTCCAAGCTTAAACTATACAATACAAAATAGATAAAAGTACTTCACCAAAGGTTTAAAACCTTTCCAAAAGCAGGCACTTTTTTTTCTTTTTTTTCTTTTTTTTTTTTTTGAGAGGATTTTGCTATAGGGCACGTGTGCTCGCCAGAAAGACAGAGAGAGACAGAGAGACAGAAGGGGAGAAATCACCCCCCAGGGGGATGGTCACACCGCAATCCCTTCTCCTCCATTCTCCTCTCGGGATCTTGGGCACGCACACATATGCCCGGCATGAGTTTAGGCCACCGAGTCCGGGACTCGAACCACGGTTGACTACATGGGAGTCCAGCGACATAGCCATTACCCTAACTGCTGGTCCCAATAAAGCAGGCAAATTTTTGTAAAGAAAAGTGTGACAAAGGCTTGTATTGAAAAAAATAACTTTTAAAAATAGATGATCTAAAAATGTTTCAAATGTTTGAATACAGACTTCACAAGAAAAGATAAATGGTCAATATACCCAAAAGTTATTCGCCATCACTAGTTAAAATGTGGGCCAGCTGGTGGTGTGGTGGTTAAAACAGCTGAACCCCTCATGGCTGACAGCATGGT